AGCAGGAAAGGAAATGATGCCATCGTAGTAGAACAATGGACAGTTATTGAGGTAAACTGAAGTTTTCTGACAATTTGGCTTTACTATTGCATTTAGTTTTACATGTTAAAGGTTTTCATTGCCTAACACATACAGTATTCTTCAAACACATTTTTATTCAATGTTCAGAATTTCATCAGAATGCGTCACAAACTTTCAAATTTGTTTAAAGGTGATTTGCTTTACTCGATGTTCAGCTTTGTTAAAAGATAGCAAAATAATTATCTATACATAAATAACAGTAGATTCCCAAAGATTTAGCATTCTAGTCCTAAACAAATTCCCCTGGCACTGAGATTCTCTTTACACAATGCCATGACAACTAGCTGAAACTGAAAAAAAAAAAAAATCAGTCAATTTTATACCCAAGCAACCAATGTGACTGACTTTTTTAACCATGTGAATTGACTTTCAAAGGCAAAAATATCCAAAGGTGTTCTTTCTCTCACCAGGCCAAATATGTACACACAGCATTGTCCTTCCTAATCAGAGATGACATTGCTGCTGTTGTTGTGCACTCTGAATTCAGATGTCACCGAATAGACTGCCGTTGAGGTGTACAGACTGAATTCAGGTATATTGTGCTGTGTGCACGAGGCTCTCACTGACAGCCTCTCTCAAGGACACTTTTGCCCTTTCTGGCCTTGCAAAGGTTAGAGAGACATAGGTCATTTTCAAAGAAATTGGAAATCCGGGGTTCCCTGGTGGTGCAGTGGTTAAGAATCCGCCTGCCAATGCAGAGGATGCAGGTTCAAACCCTTGTCCGGGAAGATCCCACATGCCACGGAACAACTAAGCCCGTGCGCCACAACTACTGAGCCTACGCTCTAGGGCCCGCGAGCCACAAATACCGAAGCCCGCGTGCCTAGAGCCCATGCTCGGCAACAAGAGAAGCCACCACAATGAGAAGACCGCGCACCGCAACAGAGTAGCCCCCGCTCACCACAACCAGAGAAAGCCCACGCGCAGCAACGAAGACCCAACAGAGCCAAAAATAAAATAAATTAATTTTTAAAAAAAAGAAAGAAAAAGAAACTGGAAATCCCGTTGAGGGGGAAGAAAGGATTTGGGGTAAGAGATAAAACTCCAAGTAAGAATCAATTCCAAGTGAGTAAAAAGCAGTGAAGATTCTCTGCTCCTCTCACCTTTCACTCCCCAATGCTCACTCTCTATTCCTGTCCTCACTCCCAGCCCCTACACCAGTGTTTCTGAAAGTGTATGGACTCTACTTGGATCCAAATCACCCAGGAAGCTTTTTAAAATGCAGATTCCCAGAGCCCCCCATATATTAAAGTTTGATGCCCAAGCAAGACCGAGGGAAGGTAGGCCCCCAACCTTAGAGAACCACATGGAAACCTCTCTCCACTCTGATCCCCAGTGTTTCTAACTTGGTTGAATGGTTGGAAGGCAGAGGGAGCAGAAAAGAAGCCCAGGAAGACTGCAGCCGGTGAAATTGCACTTAATGGAGCGTGAACTCCCCTTATCCTAACACTTCTCACCCTCACTGTCATCACTTGTGTAGCTGGTTGTCTTTGTCATTAGACTATGAACTCTGTGCTTATTCACACAGGGTTGTGAAATCAAAACGGATTATGGCCCTCTGCTGCACACTCTGGCTGAGTTTGGATGGCTCCTGACAAGCGTGTTGCCTACACCTATACTGAGACATGACAGGTAACGCCAAAAGTACCCTGACACACTCTCATCTCATTGTAAAATAGAGTTCATCTGTTAGATAATTCAACCTAACAATGCTCATTTAATGCCTACAAAAAGCATTTCACTGAACTTCTAATCTGATTTCATGTGCCTTGGAGATCAGCAAATCTAACGCCCTCGAGTTATATACATCCCTCAGTATTCATGAGGGATTTGTTCCAGGACCCCCATGGATACCAAAATCCAGGATGCTCAAGTCCCTTATATAAAGTGGCATAGTATTTGCATATAACCTGCACACATCCTCCCGTATACTTTCACTCATCTCTAGATTACTTTTAATACCTTCACAATGTAAATGCTATGTACATAGTTGCTGGAAAATTCAAGTTTTGCTTTTTGGAACTTTCTGGAACTGTTTTTTCAAATATTTTCCATCAGCAGTTGGCTGAATCTGAACTACAGATACAGAGGTCTGACTGTGTATGTACAAGCTATTAATTGCATCTCCTTCCCAAGGGCATATGAGTTCATGAGGACAGAGCCAGAGCAGGGGCAAGGTAGACCAACTCCCAACTCAGTGCTGCTTCCAGCACTCAGAAGCCTGCCTCTCCCCTCAAAGACCGTACTACTATACCTTCTTTTTTCCAACTTGAGATTCCGATTCTTCCCTAGAGTGAAGATTGGGCCGATATGAATCTGCAAACAGAAAATACGGCCCCCTCTGTAGGACCCTTTGTCCTGCTCTTCTGCACTGCCTGTGTGAAACTGCCTTCAGGCCAGCACGCAGCTAGGGTTAGGGATGCAGTGAGGCCCAGAGTGTGGGATGGAGGGACGTCAGTGCTTCTGCTTCCATTCCTCCACTCCAGTGTGGGGGGTTAGCTTTCCCCTGAAGCATGGACTTGTCAGCTATTTCCACTAAAATAAATACCTACATTAGAACCAAAATGCCAACACTTCACAAATACCGGCTTTTTCTTTTCTCCTTTTCCTGGGAAAGGAAAAGATTGAGTTGTTATTTTTTGTTTGTTTGTCTAGAAAGAGAGAGAGACCAATTAAGCTCTCTGTATAAAGTGCTTTGCTGTGCCTTGGACCCAGAAATGTTCCCTCTGTCCTGTTTGGCATACAGAAAATGACTGACTGCCAAGGCTGCCCTGCCTGGCTGGTACTACCTGCAGAGGACAGTATAGTAAAGGACAGTATAGTAGAGGACAATAAAGGGCCTTCCCTTTAAGCAGAGTCGACGATGGTTTAACATTGATTGTCACGTATAGCTAAGGGAAGCAGCTCCCCTTTCCTGAGTCTCATCCACCCTTTAGTTTAGCAACTTTACCCCTGGCCAGTAACCCTACCTCCCCACAGACTTTAAAAACATTTGATTGACATGGCTCTATAATAAAGCCACACCTTCTTCAGGTGGAGAGAGGGATAAAAGTGGATACAGAGTAAAGACACTCAAGCTTTCAAAGGAGGGGTTAGAAGTAAGCAAAGCAATTAATCTGCTTTTCTTCTCAGAGATTTATTGGTAACTGTTCTCAAACTGTGAGTGACAACTCTCTGAATTATTACCCAACTTTTAAAAATCTGTGACATACCTGTCAGATCACAGTACAGCAGTAATTCTCAAGATTTGGTCTTCAGACCAAGCTATATGAATATTCTGGAGTGCCTAGGAACATACACATGCCAGAGGCTCATCCCAATGGAACAGTCAGAAGCTTTGAGGGTGGGTCCATGAATCTCCATTTTCACAAGCTTCAGAAGCTCATCAACATTTGAGGATCTTTTCAGGAGGGAGAGAAAGAAATTCCACTTTGCTGCCACCCCTCATCTTCCATCTGCCAAGCCATTGGTCTATCGCACTCCCTACCCTCCCTCAGAATAACTTGTGTATTTGGCCTCCTCACCTCTTTTCGGTGGTTCTCCTAGGTGTACATTTAGGGTTTCATTGGCCCATTATAGTTAACCCTTCCTAAAAGTGCTCTGAGTTCTGAACTTTCATGTTCCTTTTTCCCCAATGAAAAATATATTTTTCATTCCTCCCTCCTATTCACTCTGGGCTTCTGTTCCCAGGAGTCTAAATATTTCCTAAAGTGATGTGAATGACTCACTAGGCACTAGGTTAGACTAACAGGCTGGATGCTGAGCCATAGAACACGGGCTGGCACTCCTTGAGCATCTCCTGCTTGATTTGGGAATGAGAACAAGACTGAGACCAAAGGTGGGAAGGAAGAGGTCTCAAGTATACTGTGATGGGGAAGGGTGGTGGAGCCTGGAGCCATGTTTGGCTTGACCACCTTGTCCTGCGTGTCAAACTGCGTAAGGTCACAGGCTGGACCAAGTGATTAGGAGGCTCACTGGAGTGAGGAGTGGCTGTATGTTATCCTTGGAGCAGAGGTAGCACCACTGCCTCACTACCATTCCCAGCTTCTTCAGTACCCCTGGTATCCACCAAGACACTGTGGAGGCAGAGTGGACCTTTCAGGCCCTCCTTGTGAAGGCTCAGCTTATGTGCAATTAAAATAGCAAAGGGGAAGGAATTCCCTGGCAGTCCAGTGGTTAGGACTCAGCACTTTCACTGTGGCGGCCCAGGTTCAATCCCTGGTCAGGGAACTAGGGTCCCACAAGCCGTGCGGGGCACAGCCAAAAAAGAAAAAAGAAATTAGCAAAGGGGCTACCAGGACCCTCCAAGGCCCTGCAGCTAGCAGCCTCATCACCCAGCCCCACACACACCAGTGTCTGCCACAAGCTTCCACACAAGGCAGGGCCTTTTTATTCTTGTCCAAATATGCTGACCCTATGACAGTCACATGCTGGTCTTAGCTGCTCCAGTACACACAGGATAGTAATCACCTTCAGCCAGGTCATCTTTTTTTTTTTTTTTTTTTTTTTTTTAACATTTTCCTTGGCTTTCCTCAAAAGTTGAGTGATGTCTTTAGACAGCCAGGAAACAAAATCTCGATGAAGTTTCGCTACATCTACTGAAAGATGACCCAGGAGTTGACTTTGGTTTCCGGTGGATTTGAGGATCCACGTAGAGAGCTCAATCTGAATGTGTTTCCTCTGGGAATGATGTGAGCATCCTTGGGACACAGGACAACTCAGGCTGATATTTATTAGCTCTCCAATATAGAAATACAGTGTGGCAGATAAAATGTTTTCAGACTTGGTTAGAGAAGTCAGGTTAAAAATATTCAGTCTCTCATTTTCAAGGGTTCCTAGGAAGAAAAAAAAAAAAAAAAAGAAAGTAAACATTTCTCAACATTTAATACCACTATATATAATAACTATAAAATGATAAAATGATACATATTTTTCCAGACTCTTCTCTAATCTAGAAGGTTGTGAATTCTTAAGAGTCAGCATCCAGAAGAACTGACCCTGATACTGTAAACTATGGAACATTTTTCTGGTAAACTGCAAGAGTTTTCTGGGTTTCTTCCTGCCAGGGGACCCCTCAGGGATGCAGGGCTATAGGGCAGGTACCACAATACTTTCCACCAACAACTTTTCGTGCAGATGATGTCAGGTAAAAAGGAACACCGAGGGCAACTTCTGGTAAACCCTTTTTTGCACCATAGGCCTGTCCTGCGGAATTTGGGGTCTGAGACGTGGTTTTCTTCTCTTTTTCCTCTTCATCCATTTTGTCCCCTTGCTGCAGCTCCATGTCTTTATTTGTCTTATTTTTCCCTTTAATACGCTCTTCAGATGGACTGATTCCTTCCTCAAAGATGGTTTATAATTTCTGTGAGTTCATGGACCACAACCAGCATTCTTTCATGAGCCAGGTCATCTTTAAATGTAAATAAAAATATTACGTTTGGGCTACCCTGGTGGCGCAGTGGTTGAGAGTCTGCCTGCCGATGCAGGGGACACGGGTTTGTGCCCCGGTCCAGGAAGATCCCACATGCCGCGGAGCGGCTGGGCCTGTGAGCCATGGCTGCTGAGCCTGCGAGTCCGGAACCTGTGCTCCGCAAAGGGAGAGGCCACAACAGTGAGAGGCCCACGTACCACAAAAAAATATATATATATATTACGTGCAGTTCATCTTGGTCCAGGTGGGGGATATTGCCTGAAAGTTTTTAGTTTCTGAAACTAGAAGAATGGTCCAGGCTTTGAGCTAAGCAGATCTCATTTGAATTACACCTTCACCATTTACCAGCCATATGATTTTGGGAACCTCTTTGAGTCTCAATTTCCTCATCTGGAAAATGATACAATATCAACTTCACTTGATTATCTTGACGATTAAGCAAGATAATGCAGGGCCTGTGCATACTAGGCTAATAAATTAGAGCTATTATGCAGGATTTAATCCTTTCGCAGAACCAGAATCCCTAAGAAGTTGAAGCCAATTGTAAAAGCATGATGGCTTGGCCTGTCCTAAATCAGGATATTTCAGAAAATGTCAATACTATAGTTCACTGTATACAAAATCATCACTGAGTATTACAAGCCAATAAAAGGGACAGAAATAAATAATGACGCTATAAAGATACATGCTTACACGTTATGCTCATACCCAGAAAAATTAATGTTATCATCTTTCTTTTTGGGCCCACATGTCTTAAAACATAACTTAGAACTACTGCCAGGGAAAACTTTCTTCCTTAAATATTTTTGACTCATATAAAACAATAATGTCTTAAGTAATTTCAATTTTTTCTACTCTTCTATCACCTAAGCCATAACTTGAATGGTCTCTACGTAATGTATTTTCCTCTCATTTCTTTCCTTATGCAAATATATCCTGTTAGATATAGAAAACAAACTTGTGGTTACCAAAGTGAAGAGGGAAAGAGGGA